TTTTTAGGCACACTCTCTTCACCTCCTCCACATCTTTCTGCTCTCCCTCATTCCTCCTGCTCAATATCAGCATGTAGTATTACTAATGTTGACAGAGAAGTTTGAACTGGGTGTTAGCATGAAAACAATCTGGCCAGACTTCCTAATTTTCACTGGTTTGCTATGTTAAAACAGGTTTCCCAAAAATCACAGTCCAATTTAGTAAAAGAAATCATGAAGGGAATATCCACACACCAGTCACAGACAGGCGGTTCTGTGGATGCGAACGAGATGAACAGATGGTATGTTGCCTCCCGGGTGCCAGGGTCCGTGATGTCTCGGATCGTGTCTTCAAGATCCTTAAGGGGGAGGTTGAGCAACCAGCAGTCATGGTACACATCGGTACCAATGACAGAGGTAGAAAAAGGACAGAAAATGTGAAAAACAAGTACAGGGAGTTAGGTTGGAAGCTGAAGTCCAGGACAAACAGGGTAGTTATCTCTGGATTACTACCAGTGCCACATGATAACAAGGTAAAAAGTAGGGAGAGAGTGCAGCTAAACACGTGGCTACAGGGCTGGTGTAGGAGGGAGGGCTTCCATTATGTGGATGATTGGAGCACATTCTGGGGAAGGTGGGACCTGTACAGTAAGGAAGGATTGCACCTGAACCAGAAGGGCACAAATATCCTGGGAGGGAGGTTTGCTCGAGCTATATGGGGTGGTTTAAACTAGATTGGCAGGGAGTGGGGAACTGGATTTGTAATTCAGAGGATGAGGTATTCAGCCTTCCAACACACACAACAGGGAGTGAGGTTGTTAATAAAGAAATGTGGTCGATGGAGCGTAACTGTGGACACAGAGACGGTTTGAGGTGTGTATACTTCAATGCTAGAAGTATCAGAAATAAGGCGGATGAACTCGGAGCATGGGTCAGTACTTGGAACTACGATGTTGTGGCCATTACAGAAACTTGGGGAACTCAGGGACAGGAATGGTTGTTGGAAGTTCTGGGATTTAGATGCTTTAAAAGAAATAGGGAGGGTGGAAAACGAAGCGGGGGAGTGGCATTGCTAGTCAGGGCTAGTATAGCAGCTACTGAAAGGCAGTTTGAGAATGATATGTCTACAGAGTCAGTTTGGGTTGAGGTCAGGAACAAGAAAGGGGCAGTCACTTTGTTGGGGGTTTTTTTTTAAACAGACCCCCGAATAGTTGCAGAGAAGTGGAGGAGTGGATTGGGAGGCAGATACTGGAAAGGTGCAGAAGTCACAGGGTTGTAGTCATGGGTGACTTCAACTTTCCAAATATTGATTGGAAACATTTTAGTTGTAATAGTTTAGATGGAGCGGATTTTGTCCAGTGCATTCAGGAAGGATTCCTGACACAGTATGTAGATAGACCAACACGAGGAGAGGCCACTTTGGATTTGGTGCCTGGCAATGAACCAGGCAGAGTGTCAGGCCTGTTGGTAGGAGAGCATTTAGGTGGTAGCGATCATGACTCTGTTACTTTTACAATAGTCATGGAAAAGGATAGGTACATACAACAGGGTAAGGTTTATAATTGGGGGAAGGGTAATTACAATTCTGTTAGGCAAGAACTGGGTAACATAAAATGGGAACAGATGCTGTCAGGGAAGAGCACTATTGAAATGTGGAGATTGTTTAAGGAATGCATACTGCGTGTGCTCGATATGTTTGTCCCTAGCAGGCAGAGAAGATGCAGTCGAGTGAGGGAGCCTTGGTTCTCAAGAAAGGTCGAATGACTGGTTAAGAGGAAGAAGGATGCTTATGTAAGATTTAGGAAATAAGGAACAGAAAAGCTTCTAGAGGGATACAAGTCATCCAGGAAGGAGCTGAAGAAAGGGCTTAGGAGACCTATAAGGGGGTATGAGAAAACCTTGGCAGACAAGATCAAGGAAAACTCCAAGGCTTTTTACACATATGTGAGGAATAAGAGGATGACCAGAGAAAGGGCAGGGCCGATCAAGGATTGTAAAGGGAATTTGTGCACGGAGCCTAAAGAGGTAGGAGAGGTCCTTAATGAATACTTTTCTTCGGTATTCACAACTGAGAAGGACCTATTTGTAGAGGAGGACAGTGTTAAACAGGCTGGTAGGCTAGAGGAGGTCGATGTTAGTAAGGAAGATGTACTAGGAATTTTGAGGAACTTGAAGATAGATAAGTCCCTCGGGCCTGATGGGACTTATCCAAGGATTCTATGGGAAGCGCAGGAAGAAATCGCAGGGCCTTTGGCAATGATCTTTTCGTCCTCACTGTCCACTAGTATAGTGCCGGGAGATTGGAGAGAGACAAACGTTATTCCCTTGTTCAAAAAAGGGAATAGGGATAACCCCGGAAATTACAGGCCAGTTAGTCTTACGTCAGTGGTGGGCAAATTATTGGAAAGGGCTCTGAAAGATAGGATTTATGATCACTTGGAAAGGCACAGTTTGATTCATGATAGTCAGCATGGATTTGTGAGGCATAGATCATGCCTCACAAAGCTTATTGAATTCTTTGAAGAGGTGACCAAACACATGGATGAAGGTAGAACAGTGGATGTGGTATACATGGATTTAAGTAAAGCGCTTGACAAGGTTGCCCATGGTAGGCTCATGCAGAAGGTAAGAAGGCATGGGATAGGGGGAAATGTAGCAGATTGGATTCACAATTGGCTGAGCCTTAGAAGACAAAGGGTGGTAGTGGACGGAAAATATTCAACATGGTGCTCAGTTAGGAGTGGTGTACCACAAGGCTCTGTTCTGGGTCCTCTTTTCTATTTGTGATTTTTGTAAATGATTTGGATGAAGGAGTGGAAGGGTGGGTTAGTAAGTTCGCGGACAATACGAATGTGGGTCGCGTTGTGGATAGGGCGGAGGTCTGTTCTAGGTTACAAAGGGATATTGATAGGATGCAGAGCTGGACTGAGAAGTGGCAGATGGAGTTTAACCCTGAAAAGTGTGAGGTGATTCATTTTGTAAGGAAAAACTTGAAAGCAGAATACAGGGTTAACGGAAAGATTCTTGGCTGCGTCGAGGAACAGAGCGACCTTGGGGGTCATGTCCACAGTTCCCTGAAAGCTGCCACCCAGGTGGATAGAGTTGTTAAGAAGGTGTATGGTTTGTTAGCTTTCATTAGAGGGATTGAGTTCAAGAGCCGTGAAGTTATGCTCCAGCTATTCAAAAGCCTGGTTCGGCCACATCTGGAGTATTGTGTCCAGTTCTGGTCGCCTCATTACAGGAAAGATGTGGAAGCGTTGGAAAAGGTGCAGAGGAGATTTACCGGGATGTTGCCTGGAATGGAGGGAAGGTCTTACAAGGAAAGGTTGAGAGAGCTAGGGCTTTTCTCTTTACAACATCGAAGGATGAGAGATGACTTGATAGAGGTGTACAAAATGATCAGAGGTATAGATAGAGTGGACAGCCAGAGACTGTTTCCTAGGGTGGAAGTAGCTAAAACGAGGGGGCATAGTTTTAAAGTGAGTGGAGGTGGATATGGGGAGACGTCAGAGATAGGTTCTTTACTCAGAGAGTGGTCAGGGGGTGGAATGCATTGCCGGAGAGGGTAGTGGAGTCATCCTCATTGGGGCATTTAAGCGGCTATTAGATAGGCATATGGATGATAGTATAAGGTAGGGGTGGAGGTTAGATAGACGTTAGGATTAGGGTAAAAGTTTGGCACAACATTGTGGGCTGAAGGGCCTGTACTGTGCTGTACTCATAGATAGAATCCCTACAGTGTGGAAACAGGCCCTTTGGCCCAACAAGTCCACACCGAACCTCAGAGCATCCCACCCAGACCTATCCCCCTATAACCCACCTACTCTACACATCCCTATGGGCAATTCAGCATGGCCAATCCACCTAACCTGCACATCTTTGGACTGTGGGATGAAACCAGAGCACCTGGAGGAAACCTATGCAGACACCGTGAGAATGTGCAAACTCCATGCAGACAGTCACCTGAGGCTGGAATTGAACCCAGGTCACTGGCACTGTGAGGCAGCAGTGCTAACCACTGTGCCGTCCCGTACTGTTCTATGTTCAGTCTGTGCTTCATCAATTGTATGACGTAGCATGTTAAACCAATTGATATTGTCATTGTAATGATGGTAATACTGATAGCATTTGTCATCATTAGCCTGAAAAACTGACAGCAATTCCTGCCAATCAACATGTACAGCTAAACGTAGTTGGCCCGGGACAGTGATAATAGGCTGCCGTGTTGAACTGCTGTAGGTTGGCCCACAGTGACTTTATGCAGGGAATTCCAGGATTTTGACCCCACGATAGTGAAGGAATGGTGATAGATTTCAAAGTCAGGATAGTGAATGGCTTGGAGGTGAACTTGCCGATGGTTCTATTCCTTTGTACGTGCTGCCCTTGTCCTTTTAGATGGAAGTGGTCGTGGGTTTGGAAGGTGCTGTCTGAGGATCGTTGGTGAATTTCTGCAGTGCATCTCGTAGATTGTACACACTTCTGAACGTCTATGATGATGGAGTGGATGCTTGTGTATGTGGTGCCAAACAATTGGGCTGCTTTGTCCTGGATGGCATCAAGGTTCTTAATTGTTGGAGCTGTATCCATCCTGGCATGTGGCGAGTACTCCATCACATTCCTAATTTGCACCTTGTAGATGATGGGCTGACTTCGGACATCATGAAGAGAGTTACCTGCTGCATTATTCCTAGGCTCTGACTCGCTCTTGTAGCCACTGTGGTGAGTCCAGTTGAATTTCTGGTCAAAGGTAACCAAAGGATGTTAACAGTGGGCAATTCAGTGATGGTAACACCATTGAATATGAAAAATGGTTGGTTAGAATGTCTCTCTCACTGGAGAAGGCCATTGAATAGCATTCGTGTGGCACGAATATTACTTGCCATTTGTCAGCCCAAGCCTGGATGTTGTCCAGATCTTTTTGTATTTGAACGTGGGCTGCTTCAATATCCGAAGAGTCATGAATAGTGCTGAACATTGCGCAATCATTGGTGAACGTTCCCACTTCTGACCTTATTATACAGGGAAAGTCATTGACGAAGCAGCTGAAGATGGTTGGGCCTTCACACCACCCTCATGAATCCCTGCAGACTGCCGTCCAACAACCACAACCATCTTCCTATTTGCCAGGCTACCAACTCTTCAATGTGTGGACTTGAAGTCTTTGCTAACGTTTTATTTGTGATTTCAAAGATTTTCATGTACTTCAATGTTTTAAACTGTTACTGTTGTTAAAATCATGTTGTTGAATAGGGTTTTTAAACCATGTATTAAATTATAATTAGAACAATCCCTCTTGGTCTGAAAATCTAATAACATATTTCTGGATTTTAAATTTCTGTCATTAGAGTTACATAGGTTTTTTTGTGATACTTCAGCTTTCACCTTAATTCCCATGTGCATATCCAATATCTTTATTCTTCTCAGTTAAAGAAAAATAGTATATTTTATTTCTCTGGTTTGCTTTTGTGGCAATACTTCAATCAGGCTGCGAAACTTGCCTCATTGCAGCAATGACTGGATGCTTTCCATCCTCGAGAACTGATGACAAATTTAATGTCACGCAAGTTGCAATCCGTGTGAAAGAAAACGCTCGCTCATAGTGGTAAAGTGAACAGGAAGAAAGCTGTCCACAGAGTACAATATCTAGATTATAACTATGCTATTTGATCTTTTTAGTACAGTGGACTCTATTGCAGTCTTAACTTTTATAGAGTCATAGTCTTACAACAGAGAAAATAGAGCCTTTTGGTCCAACTTGTCCATGCTGACCAAGTTTACCAAACTAAACTAGTCACATTTTCCTGTACAACAAGGTGCAGGGCTGGATGAACACAGCAGGCCAAGCAGCATCATAGGAGCAGAGAGGCTGACGTTTCAGGCCTAGACCCTTCATCAGAAAAGGGGGAGGGGAAGGGGGTTCTGAAATAAATAGGGAGAGAGTGGGAGGCGGATAGAAGATGGATAGAGGAGAGGATAGGTGGAGAGGAAACAAACAGGTCGAAGAGGCAGGGATGGGGCCAGTAAAGGTGAGTGTAGGTGGGGAGTTAGGAAGGGGATAGGTCAGTCCAGGGAGGATGGACAGGTCAAGGGGGCGGGATGAGGTTGGTTGGTAGGAGATGGAGGTGCGGCTTGAGGTCGGAGGAGGGGATAGGTGGGAGGAAGAACAGGTTAGGGAGGCAGGGACGAGCTGGACTGGTTTTGGGATGCGGTAGGGGGAGGGGAGATTTTGAAACTTGTGAAATCCACATTGATACCATTGGGCTGCAGGGTTCCCAAGCGGAATATGAGTTGCTGTTCCTGCAACCTTCGGGTGGCATCGTTGTGGCACTGCAGGAGGCCCAGGATGGACATGTCGTCTGAGGAATGGGAGGGGGAGTTGAAATGGTTCGCGACTGGGAGGTGCAGTTGTTT